GTTAACATGATATATATTATAGTTAACATGTTATATATCACAGTTAACATGTTATTTATTATAGTTAACATGGTAAATGAGAACACTCATATACCCAGCTGATGACATACACAAGTATTTCAATAGTTAAGGAGGGAAAATTTGTACATCATTTTTATATCGCATTCTGGTTATAGTTCACACATATACCAAAGTATTTCAGTTCATATACACACTATTTCATACATACAAAATTACCCAAAAGTGTTTCACAACCCTAATATCAATCGGCGATCGGTTCGTTGCAAGTTGCTCGGTTGTGCCCTTCGGCGCAGCATCGAGAGCATTTCAAATGTCGTTTGAAAACTGTTCTATTGTTGATACACCGTGTTTTATTTCTCCTCTTTCTTTTGGTAGTATGTGGTGGAAGTAGCATGATCTCATCCCTTGGTACACTTCGCTTCTCATAATCTGGTATATGATACAGAATTAGCTCATAGCTCTTTTTAAATACTTCTATAGACATAAACCAATCGCAATATTGGTAAATATCTCTCTTCATGTCAAGATGACTGCATATGCATGTTTACACGAAATTCGCATAACGTCCCAAGCACGGCAAGTGCATGTCTTCTTCTCCAGTTCAACCCGTGTAGTTTTATGTGATTGTCATTCAAATATATCATTTTCAGCTTGTTTAACATCCAATGGACGACCTTTTTCTATATTTTCTTTAAGCATCATCTCTGCTTTTAGACAGAGATATCCACCCTATTTTTCTACAAATACCTGACGACTACTCATTTGGACCATTATTTGTTTACGAATATACTCAACCATTTGTAGAATTCATAGCATTCTAGCCTCCCTTATCCAATTATTAAAAGACTCGGCGACATTAGATGTTAAGTGCTCATATCTGAAATTATATTAGGAGAGCATTAACAGTTACAGTTAACAGTTCATATATAAGGTTTATAGTTAACAATTTAAAAATAAGAGTTAACATATAATTGCTTATAGTTAACAAGTTACATATAAAAGTTAACAAAAAATTGAATATAGTTAACATGTTGCATATAACAGTTAACAAATAATCGAATATAGTTAACAGCTTACAGGCCTTTTGTTATCAATTTACCAGTTACGGTTAATATGCTACATATAATAAGTTCATACATGAGTGTAGATATAGAACAGATGTATAACGTTACCTTATTCTCGGAAAGAATGCATTTGCTCACTGATCAGAAGAGTAGTTCACAACAATGTTGTATGCCCTTGGATCAATGTCATATATCTCTTTCATGTAATCATTCAATTCTGCTATTGTGTATTTATAACAAGCATCTTAGAGCAAGGTACCCAAAACATGAGTGTCCTTCGATTTCATGCCCAAGTCCTTAAGATTTAACCTAAAATTTTTAACGAGATGTAGAATACACCTCGAGTGTAGATTTTCTAGAAAATATTTTACTGATTCTTTAATTCCTTTGTCCGCACCAGAAGTTATAACTAATTGGTGGGGAGGATTGTAAGGATCAGCTCTCTCATAAAGTATGGACTATAGACCTTGGAGGAACCACTTTCAATTCATCAAATTCTCCTGATCACATATGCAATACGCTAAGAGAAATATCTCTTGGTCCCTATTGTATGCTATGGTGGAAAGGAGTATACCTTTATATCGGTCCTTCAAAAATGTACCGTCCAAAAATAGAAGGGTCTGCATCCACTCAAGAAACCATTAATGCATGCAGCATAACAAACAAAGAGTCTTGAAAATGTTCAACATGTATATAGCTGTCAGGATTTGTCTCTTTAAACATGCACTTATACCTAGAAAAGTAACAAACAATAATCCAAAGTTAACATGTTATAGGTGTAACTTAACAAGCGAACAAAAAAGTTAACATGTTATTAGTGTAACTTAACAATCTAGCGGCAAAATTTAACATGTAATCAGTGTAACTTAACAAGCGAATAAAGAAAGTTAACATATTATCATTGCAACTTAACAACCTAACAAAAAAGGTAACATATTATCAGTGTAACTTAACAAGCCAACGAAAAAAGTTAACATATTATATGTATAACTTAACAAGCGAACAAAGAAAGTTAACATGTTATCATTACAACTTAATAATCTAACAAAGAAAGGTAAAATGTTATCAGTGTAACTTAACAAACAAACAAATAAAGTTAATATGTTATCAATATTATCAAAAAAAAAACTTAACAAGGAACATGTTTTCAATGTTATCAATGAAAGTTAACATGTTATCAATGAAACTGAACAAGGAACATGTTAATTTTTTGTGTTTTAACAAACAAACTTTGAAAGTTAACATGTTATAGTTGTAGCTAATCATGATCAGAAACAGACTTAACATGTTATTAGTGTAAGTTAACAAGCATTGTAACAATAAAGCAGAAAATTTACCATCATAGTTGATCATACGACTCATATATATCCCCGTACAGCTTCTCCTGTGCTCTCTCTTCCCCCACCAAATATTACTGTAATCAATTCTAAGGCCGTAGTTTGTGAGGAACTCCTTTTGCACATCAACGTGGTGGATCTCTGGACGGACCTTCAGGAGTGGTTGCAACTGTGTTGCAATGAATTTACGAGATTCCCTTGAACGACCTGCATTTTGCCCGTGCTGTGCACAAGTGTGTTCATTAACAATCTTCTTGATCGAAAGTCTCTTTTTATTCTTAACAGGTGAAGCAAACAACATCCATGGGCACTCCTAAGTTTCTTTATATCGGCAATATACACGGATACGTTTTGGTTTGTTCTTTTTAAATTCATAATCAAACTTTTTGGCCATAGAATAATATGCCAACGGCGTTCTTAATTCCTCAGCACTTTCAAATTCTTGATCATCTTCAGTTAATGCATTGTGCCACCAACCAGGAATTATTACTGTGTTGTTAACAATGTCATCGGATCGCACTATAATGCTACTGCTGAGATTATCATTGGGAATTTTTTCTGAAGTATGATTTGCGACAGAAGTGCTATCAATAAACTGTGGCTTCAATATATTCATAATGTTGCACAAATGTAAATATTTTTTTTCTAAAATAACGACTATGACTTGTAGTTAAATTCTGCATCTTTAAAAGTTAACACATATACTGTAAAGCTTAACAACCGTGTGATGACAGTTAACATATGACATTTAACAGCTAACATTTAACCTGAAACAATTCGCTATACTACTCATTTCTCCACATTTTACTCACACAATTCACAACTTTTCAAAAATTTAAAGATAACTTACATTTCAGGAGGTTCCTTCTGGGTGTTCTGACATTTGGAAACATCTACATCTATAGTAGCTTGGATATGGATCTCCAGACACCCGATATTACGGTTGAGCTCCACCATACACTTCATATCATCCTCGTTCTCAATCTCAAAACTCAGATCATGGATCCTTTCAGATTTATACACCAGACTTAACATGTCATATAGAACCTTCAACCTCTCAGCCACGTCAAACTTGAACTCAAAAAAAAGAGGTTACACACGTTACCCTTGAGAACACTGCTTTCTCACCCAAGGACACCATGCAAATCAGGGGTTTCTCTGCCATAAATAAAAGGGATTTAAGAGGATTTATGAAGGGAACGTTAGGACAAGCGGATTGTTGAAGATCAAAAGCCCTAAGTTCATAAATGTGCCCTTTACACCATAAATGAACTCGAAGCAAAGAAGAGTGGGTTATGAGGAGATATAATGGAGGGAACCCGTCAAAATTTCCCCCCAAGACCGCCATCACCTCGCCTTAATTGCGACGGGGATCGATCTCCAACAACCGGGGCTCGTTTTTAAGGCTGGAAGAGAAAGTCAGGGGCATTTTCGGGTCTCTGTGTATAAATACGGGTGAGAGAAGGTAACTTGGGGCTCGATCGTAATTTTTTCAAATTTTAAGGGGTTTGGCATATGGGCCAAAGTACACGGGGCTAGGCCACTTGAAAACTCTATTTTTAGGGCCTTGAAGCAATTTTTCCCAGAAAAATTGGTTTGATCCCCAACTTTAAAATTTCTAATGGAACACTTTATGTATAAACAGGGGTACATGATTTTCCCGGGAACTATGTTAGTCAAAGTAATCAGCTTACTTTCTGAATTGTCGTTTATGGTATCATACCTTTTAAAAACAACCATAGAATTATAGAACTAATACTTGCACGTTAAGCAAAATGACCAAAAGCAGCTACCAGCCCCCTGTTGCTGATAGTTACTCTATACAGAAGATGATGGTGGGTACTCCACCATGCGTACTGAAATAAAGGTGAAATTTGCAAAAAATATAGGGAAAAAAAAAAACTGTTTTGCCTACTTTCTTTTCATTGTGTTGATGCTCCCTATCCCCAGTGATATAATAATACCAGGGAATTATTACTGTCTCCCCTTGTCCACCACGAATGACCAGCCGCTGTGACATTTCATGCATTATACAATTTCATGCTCCCTAGTGCTGCAAAAGGATTCACCTTGAGCAAATCATTTTCTTTTCATAGGGAGTCCCTAACAAGGCAGAGAAAAAATATATATATATATGCGCATCTCAAGCCGAAAGAGAACTCCAACTATATTACCTTTTTCGTCGAAATGAAACTAAAGTACCAACATGGGTGAATAAAAAGTGAGGCGGATAAAATTTTCAAATTTAGCAAAATACCACAAGGTGGCCTCAGGAAATAGTATATGCATGCACCCCCTAACAACATGGGATGAACAAGGATAGCACTCGGCGAAAAGCAAATCTAAAGTAATACCGTGCGCTAAAAGCAATGCATATTATTAAACCAATCATGACGGGTTAGACCGAGAATCTCAGAGGCTATAATTACAAGACGATGACATCGATCGACATATAATCAACTTTTGCTCAAACCGATTAGCCTTCACTCTTCGATCCGTGCCTTGAACTGTTTTTGGAAATTTAAGTCATGCAGACAAAGAGTACTAAAAATGTGAGTAAAGCTATATAGACACTATATTATACTTACAAATAGTATACAGGGGATATATAGGTACAACAGAAACTCCAAGTTTGAATACTTACACGACAGGATTCGTTAGTCGTATAGTAAATCCTACAAAAAAAGTATGCTGGTTGCATGTTGTATGTATACAAAAAAAGAAGAAAGCTAGTTGTATATATACAATTATAGGTGCACCGATACATACAGAACCCTATACTTAAGATGTGGATTTGTTGCTGAAATGCTGAACTGTAGAGAATGAGAACACAGCGTCCAGCGGTTCTTTTTTGTTCACCTCCAAAACAAGAAGTCTCTATAGCAACAAGAGCAGTTTGATAAACAAAGCATGACTTTCCTTGCATAAAAGTTTCACAGCAGGCTCTTAATTAATGACCATGAATTAGAATATGCAGGACCATGCATCTAGTAACTCTCAGTACAAGGCATCACTTCCACTGTCAGAAATACTTATACGTACACTCCGAGAAATTGCTGTAAAAAACTCCTTTGAACTCAATCAGTCAGCTGGAGCAGATTGAACTCGTGGTTATAAAACAATAGCCTCAAGTTTATCGCAAGAGCTTCCCTCTTTATGTTCTCTGAAATCATCATCACTATCAAATTTGAAAATGTATAATGGTTGTGTTCGAGTGATGCCAGGATATGCCGATTAATGTTCAGGTCAATCTCCAAGCTCTGAAACAAATTATCAAAATGAAAACTGAGAACACCATCTGCAGAGTTGAATTTGCAAGGTTTAGTGAACACTAAGCTTAAGTATAATAACAAGCAGTTGAGAGTTCAGTTCTTTTAACTACCAAAAGAAGTTGATCAATCAGAAAAGCTCAATTTATGTGACATGACTTCAAGTAGACGTCTGCTGAAAAGAGGTAGTGCCAACTTTCTATTGATATACGAAGTCTAAAGATATATAAGTATATTGCCATTTTAGAAAATAACTTGTCAATCTATATTGTTACAGGGGATTATCAACATTTTTGCCACATTTACAATAAAGAAATAATATTTTAGAGACATCAAAGAAGTGGTCTCAGTTGGTAATTAATGGAAAACTGCGACTTCTCTAAAGAGTTGAATATAATGAAGAATACCTTTAGCTGTCACCATTTAAGAAAATAACTTGTCACTCTGAATTATTACAAGGGTACAAGTAAAAACCACGACTACGAATTGTTACAAGGGTACAGGTGAAAACTACGACTACCCAATTTCAACAATTTGACCTCATATAACCTAGGAAAAGAAACAATTGCCATTTCCAAGTAGGCGGATTTATAAAATTGAGGGGTAGTGTTACCTCATATAGATTATGTAGTGAATTTCCATCGTTCTCTCCATAGAAATATTGCAGTCTTCTAATATTTTTCTCTGATCGTCATTGCAACATATAAATGCAAAGTCTGCAGGATTGGACCATCATACTTCCAACTACAAGAGAAGAAACCATATAGGTAAATCATAAGGTCTGTAGCTCTGTAATACAGGACAGTAGAACACAAAACAACTTATTGCTCAATGTTGTATCTCGCACATTTAGATTCTAAAATAGAACATTCTTAAGAAGCGTGCGCAGGTGTACAAGATATGTCCAAAGCAGACGTAAAACTCAATCACTTGGAACACCAGTGGAAATCTCATCCCAAAGCAGTCGATGAATCTTAACTGTGAAATGTCTGATGTGCTTGAAATCGCATTGGTTTCAAGGAAATCACGAGTTGGTGCATGAGAATGTGGTTGTTTGTCGAAGTGGCGCAACATGAAACATGATCCTTTGCAGTAATGCAAGGAAATTGTAAAGGCTGATGAGTGAATTCAATCATTTCAACTCCACCCACATGCTTCTTACACAATTGAAGTTGTGTGTGGGTGTGTAAAGTCAATATCAGCGTAAGAGGTCATGTACTGAAGGAGCTTGGGACACGATGAGCTAGCAACACCACGCGTAACTGGAATGTGACAAGGCATTAGGACAAAGATGTTAGTTGTATAAAGCAGAGAATTGTAACAAACCCCACAAGTCTCAAACTTGTAAAAGATAAACATAGGCAAGAGGTTAAGACTGGTTGCCACAACCTAGCCGGTAGATTATCAGAATCATTGCCCTTTGGTCTAATCACAACAGGATTCTAGGATACTGCCAAAATAACTAGATCCTTCAGATCCAATCACAGCAGGATTCTAGGATACTGCCAAAATAACTATCATAAATATATGAAACGCCCTCCTAGGGAAAGGAAGGTATTCACAAACTAAAACCTCACTTTGTTTATTCTCTCTGTACTTTTGTGTAGTGTGCAAACCTGCATGGACACTTTGGGCTACCTGGTCTTCTCAGATGACAAATTTCTTGCTCTCGTCCCATCACCTAAATCCAACAACAAACCTCGGAGATCTCAGGTTTGTGAAATAGGATCATATTGGTCCTGGGTTTAGCAAGCCTGGGTCCATTGCACAAATACAAGGATTTCTGAGCGTAGATCTAAAAAGATTATCTTCCACGTAAAACATATGATCCACATGATTCGACTAAAGGTATAGATGCTACAACTTGATATATTTTCGCCATAATTAATAAACCTTATTAAATAATGAGTCCCTAGGATATGTGATATAAAAGCATGAAAACTGAAGAAATGAAACACAATCAAGATTTATAGATGCACAATCAAAATATATTGGCAATCAAGATTTATAGATGCACAATCAAAATATATTGCAAAGTCATGTACAACATAAGAATTGTTGTATATGATATATCAATTAATATACATATTAAGTACATGTGTTGTACTATGATCTATACAATAAATTTACCTCGTAAACCAAAATGTCTACTCAAATAATCTATTTATTGAATCAACACACACATACACACACATGTATACATCCTGGACTTTTCAGATTTATCCACTTATTCTATTTTGTTCTGCTAATGTTAATGCAACATAGCAGCACGTAAGCAGAATCTTGTTGATAAACTTTGCAATCCTCTGATGGGAGGCAAGAATGCTTGAATGGGAAGCATAATAATGTCCAGTAAAATATTCCTCTCACAGAAAAAAATAAAAATAAAAAACTCGTAGGTTGGGCGGGCATATGAACTAGAAAAGAAATGGGTATGAATTACCTAACAAAGGGTATCTTCCGGACATGAGCAATCTTTGGCATGTCTGTACCACTACCTCCTCTGAACCTTTGCTTCATATCTGGATGACAATTTCTTGAAACCAACTTCTTTTAAGTTTTAAGAAACCTGGAAGCCCGTTCTCCAGTAATGACTTCAACTCAGGACAGTCCTCCATCTCTAATTTTTGTAGTGAGGAAACTGCATGCAAGTTCGAAGGCCAAGCTTGCAGATTGGGACAAGCTTTGAAGCTTAATTCACAAAGGCTTGTGAGATTCCCCAGCCATTCTTGCTTCCCACCATCAGTAAACAAAGCAACTTTTAGAGAATGCTAAATTTTCAGGATCTGAAGCCTCCAATAAGCTGCCATATGATCAACGAAGTGTCATCAATACACTGAACGGAGTAATGACGGCCCATTTAGCAGCTCGTTGTGGTTCTGAGGAGAAGCCATTGTCAATCTGGGACATCTAGAATTGCCAAGCTTTCTGAGGGAAGGAAGACTGTGTAATGGTTCCAAAAAGGTAATATGTGCAAAATCCTATATGGTCAAATCTTAAGCGATATCAGGTGATGCAGGTTTTCTTTTTGCAGAGATGTTATGTGGACAACTGATCATCTTCAATGTAGAGAGAGAGTTTTACAGGCAACCTGGCAGTGACATGTAGAGATTGCCACAATATCCAAAAACAAATTTTTTTCAGAGGAAGGAGGAAGTTAGCCCTTCTTCCTGATTTGGACAGTCCCAACTCCAAGCATTCAAGGCTGATGAGATCTTTCAACCTCTCAACTGGCAGCGAGGTAACATTTCCTTTAATCCAGAAAGGTGCTTGACATAACAATTCTTCAAGTTTTCTTAATTTTGGACAGTTCTTGATGCACATCCATAGAGAGTGAAGAACTCTAACAGTTGCTATCACTGTGATTGGATCCAACCCCAGCTCCTGCAAGTTCATCCTATCCCATCCTATCCCACTTTCGACAGCCTAAGTTTTACAAGAGAAAATGGAATGCAAGGTAACCTTCTCAGCTTGGGGTAGTCCTTGACGTAGAGGTCAAGTACGCAAGGAAATAATTGTCTGGCATCTGTTGAAGACCTGTCATCCCATTCTGGCATGTTCCAGCATGATAGATGTTCGAGCACAGGGAAACTACTAATAGTTGGAGTTCCATAGAAGTTTAATCCAACTTGTCTCACTGCATTCACACATCCAAATTTCAGGTATTTCAGAGATGGCCAATGTCCCAGAGATGGAAGCTGCTCCAAGCTTTTGCAATTACCCAAGAACATTGATTTAAGTTTCGGGAGTGATGTTTTGTTCAACCAGCTTGGATATTTGACCCCGCCATATGTTATGACCTTCAGATCTTTATGATTAGGGTGTGGTTGTAAGGCATCTAGTACATCAGCATCAGGCACATCAATCCCCAACTGAGCATGCATGTCAAAGATCCATTTGAAGCGTAACTCATTGGGGCACTTCTTGTTGTTTAGCATAGCCTGATTAGCTTCTTCTTTAGTATCAACATTTTCCAGGTTACTAATGCATAACCTACCATGAAGCTTATTCATCTCCATCAGTTCTCAGATCATGCGCTCAGTTTTCTTTACAACTTTTAAGAGACTCAATTTTTGAAGAGCAGATAGCTTTCTATTTCAAATATATGTGCAGCACTGTTTTCATTTGCATCAGGTTTCTTCAAGTTGATAAGGTTTCTTATCCGTCTAGGAAAGCAAACATTCAAATGCGGCATCAATTTCAGTCTTGCAAGTTGTAGAGTCTACAAAATGATTCAGGGAAGCTTACAATGTTTGCAAGAGAGAAATCAAGATATCGAAATTGCTTTAAGTTACTGATGCTGTTAGGAAGCTCTTCCATGCACAGATAGCCTAAAGCCATTACATGGATGCTTCTGAATTACTTCAAGATGGTATCAAGTGCAAGGCGAGGATCAGGTGCATAGCTATAAATGAATAAGAGAGCACACTTAAATCTGCACAAGCCATAGAACTCTCAAATTCATGATTTGTATGCAAATGGATAAATTGCGAATAGAACTGGGAATGTTCTGCTATTTTTCCTCTTCTTCTACTCTGAAACAATAATATACTGCAATGTATTGTGCCAGGTCATGCAATAATCATGCATAACGTATGTATTTTTCAGCCAACAGTGTTTCTGAAAGGACACTGAAAGCAAATCATTAAAGTATTAATTCCCTAAATCCTCCATTCTCATGTAAGATGTTCTCTTTTTCAGGTCTAACAGACCTTGCGCCATCCACATCTGGATTAAGCTTGTATTACTGAAACGGTAATCTTTGGGAAATAAAGAACAATATTCAAAACATTGCTTCACGCATGAAGGAAGATACCGGTAATTCTTAAGTTTAAAATTGTGAGAATGTCATTTTCACCTTGTTTTAACTCCCACATTTTGCTTTCACAACACTCACCCAATATTTGGTATTCGAACTCAAATTAAAAAGGCCTCCAAGAGTCTTTGCAGCTAAAGGCGACCCCTTTAGCCTGTCCGAAATCGGCTTGCCGATTAACTCCAGCTTTGGATATCTTTCCAACTTTTAGTTCCCGAATGCACAAATCTAGAAAAAGCTCCAATATGGATTTGCAGATAAACCGCTAAGAATGAAAGGATCTTTGACACGTCCCGGGCAAGCAAGCCCATTGGCGCGTGCAAGCCGCGGGACCCACCGAGCGTAACGCTCTGTTTGGCTCAATCCACTGCCAAAATCGACTAGCCGGTGTTATACTTGAACATCATGACTTACATTATAAACACTCAGCACTTTCACTCACCCACCAATGTGGGACTATAATTTAGGGATATCACAATCACCCCACCTTATAAATGTGGCCTCCTCGTTGTGACAGATAATCGGTACATCCCAGTAGCGCTAGGCGATGTGGACTCTAGAGATAGCTCCCACAGCGCTCACGCGGTGTAGCACTTAGCTCTGTATAGCACTTAGCTCCACATTTTCGGGTGGCAACTGCTCTGATACCATTTGTCACATTACTTGATCTCGAAAACATATTGCTTGTACCAAAAGTAATATTGGTGTAAAGTTGTTCACTTGTGAAAATTACAAACCCTTCTAATTTAAGTGAAAAAGTGTAAACTCATCATATCAATTAAAATGGTTCACTTTATTTATTTTTGGTTCAAATACCAAATCACGAAAAATCTCTTGAATTCGTTAAACTGCTGAAACACATTTAAATCACTTCTTCAATAGCTTTCAAATAAAGCGATATTCACAATTATTTGAGATCGTGTGAGAATCAAAATCACTTATCACATTTTATATGAAATCAAATTTACTTTCAATATCTCATAAGGAATCAAAATCATGTTATGAATTAGGCAGCATTAGAATCGACCAAATCACATATTATTTTCTATATATAAAAAATAATAGAATAATTATTTTTCAAGCACAAGATCAATCAATTATAATACTCGTGTAATTTTATATTATAAAAACACTAGTGAGAAATGAACTCTCCTTACACTGTCCGAGTCTTCCAAATTTGATCCCCCTTTGATATCAACCAAATCCTATAGTATAAAATTATAAAGTTAATATTAAACTAATGTAGATTTAATCTATGTCCAAGTAGCGTCATAAGACCCATAAAAGGGGTTCACATAGGATTATTGCTAATTTATCAATTTACCATAATTTTTACAACACATTTCTAATAAATTTGGAGCTATTAACAATTCATGGCAATTTCTGGGAGCTACACATAATTATTCAAGCCAGACAATAACCCTACTTTCACAGTCTAGACCTATTTGCAAGATGTGGAACAACTGGGGTCTATAGATAATCTTTTCCCTCTTCAACTATTGCACTGTTTTGCAAAGTCTGGACCTGAGTCCAAACTTTATGAGACTCTGTAAACTAAGTTCTCCTAAAATCCATATTTTCCTCTCTCAAGTTGGGCCCTTTAACAAATCTTTTGTGAGTCAGGGGACAAGGAAATTTTCCTTTCCCCTTTCACTTTTCTCTTTGCTCTTACGCGACTTCTCATCTTCTCCCCTTTTTTCCATTTCTTTTTCTTTCTCTTTCTTTTCTTCATTTTTCGTTCTCTTTTCTTTCTCTTTTTCTTTTTTTCTTTTTTTTTCTTTTTCAAAGTCAGGCTTTAAGACCGGCCCTCATCTTCTTCCTCAGTTTTCGACGAGTGACCTAACAACGGCAGGTAGTTCTTTGGCGGCAAACGGTTCGGTGGCGGCGAGCCCTTGCTGGATCTAGTGTTTGTAGATTTTTTTAAGCAAGCAATTATCCAATAGCCTTTGTCCAAATAACAAAATCAAACTTTTTCCCCTCATTATTCACTCTAGAGATTTGATTAAGGGAAAAGGATTTATACCTTACGATTTGAATCTGATTGTTACCTGGATACTTTCCCCTCCTCTTCCCTTCTATCCGTCACTAAGCTCCAAGCTCCAGTAGAAGGTTAGGGAGGTGCAAGTAGGCTTCATGCTGATTTGATTTTCTTTTTCCTTCTATTTTCTGTAACTTTTTATATCAGTGTTGAGGCGGTGCCACACCCACTCTGTTGACAAGAGACCACCAGTTCTTTGATGTGGCAAGAGGGAGATTAGGGAATGGGAAAAATTTTACACAACACCCCCTAAAATTTGTTATTTGCACATATTATCCCTTCTTATGAGAAGTGAAATCTATTATTTGTTAGGGGATATTGCACTCTCCCCTCCTAATAAAAAGTTTCATCCTCAAAATTTAAACGTTTTTTAATTTTCAAAGCGCTTTGGATATTTCTCTCGCATAGAATCTTATATTTTCCAAGTAGTTTTTTTCCCTCAGAGTGATTTCTCCATTTAACTTTCACATATTTGTTCACAAACAAAATGGAGAAAGTCAATTTCACAAGTCTAAATGAAATGAAAAGGAGCTCGTGATCCAAGAAACCCAGCTTACCCTCGACAACAACATCTTCACTCTGAAGTTGTCTGCACCTTTCCCCAAGAAAGATCGTATTAGATCGATCTTAGGCTCAAAACCAAACTATCATCTGCCTCATTCTCACGGATTATGACACTAGAGATGCTATATACATCAAACTATCCATTTTTCACGTTCCAGACCTGCGTGCTCGTGGGAGCGTGCAAATCGTGGGACCCACCGAGTCGTATGTGTTGTTGGCTCAATCCACTGTCAAAATCGACTAGCCGATGTTACACTTGAACTTCATAACTTACATTATAAACACTCAACACTTTCACTCACCCACCGATCTGGGGAATATAATTTGGGGATCTCACAATCACCCCCATTTTACAAATGCGACGTCCTCGTTGCGACCTGTAATTGGCACATCCCAGTAGTGCCAAACGATGTGGACTCTAGAAGAGCCTCCAGCTAGCAACTGCTCTGATACTATTTGTTCTGTCCCAGGCCCACGAGCCCATTAGCGCGTGCAAGCATGAGACCTACCGAGTATAACACGTTATTTGGCTCAATCTACTGCCAAAAACTAGTCAATGTTACACTTGAACCTCATAACTTACATTATAAACACTCAACACTTTCACTCACCCACCGATGTGGGACTATAATTTGGGGATCTCACAATCTCTTACACCAATTAAATTCGACACTTGTTTGGAACGAGTTGTTACTAGGATTTTTCTATCCTATGCCCCGAGTTTCAATGGAGCCCATAGCATATCCCATTCGGTTCTATCTTCATTCCACACATTTTCAAGTACAAGCAAAAAATCTCTTGAAGAATAATCTATCCTCACGCATTCAATGGAGCTTATTCAAACTAGTGAGGTTGGATAGCTTTTCCCCTGGCTGGCCTCTGTTGTGCGCGGCGGAAGCTAAAACCAAACCGATGTGCTTCGAGAGACCAAATCAAAACAAACACCGAGAGAATGCCAAACAATGCAAAATAACGGCACAAACTCAAACAACCAATTTTAACGTGGTTCGACAAGTTGCCTACGTCCACGGGCAAGAAGGGGATGTGGTTTTCACTAATAGAGAAGAAGAGTACAAACTGAGATTACAAAATCACACAAACTCACCAATTAATCTCACCAACAAAGCTCTAATTCTTTCCAAACAAAACCCTAACCAATAGCTCAGAAAATACCTCTTTTCTGTGCTCCAAATATCCCCTTCGCTGCTCCCTTACCCATCAAGTTTCTGCTTAGATCCTTCTGACTACATTCAAGCTATATTTGCATATGATGTGCCACCAACTTGCTTTGAGTATTCGGGCATGCATCAACAAGATTTAGATTCTTAAGTCGATATTTTTCGTGAAGATGATTACCAATTGCAAAAGAAAAATATTGGGGATATGCTTGTGTAGGAGTTGCGTCTTACTCTTCTCTTTCTTGTGAGAGATGTTGATATACTTGTTTCGTATTAGTTTTGGTTGTAACCAGAAATTTATAAGACATTACTAATTTGTGAATTACCGTACAATACACCACTTTTTGCAATAATCTTTGATACCAATATTTAGTTGTGGCATGCACGCATTGCGTGCAGCAGGAGATTAATCTTCATTAAGGAAGTCAAAAACACAACTTTACATCCATGAAATTGAAAACATTGAATTGGGCTATGATGGAGAGACGACGAGGAGTGGCGGTGGCTCCCATTCCAAGGTGTCATGTTAGCATCCGCGATGGAGAAATGGTAATTGAAAAGGGAGCTCCAGTAGAAGAAGGGCCGAAATTGTCATAGAAATAGCCAAATAGCAAGCGATTGAAGCTCTTTTACAGAAGAGGATGAAGATGTGATGGGGGCTAATTTCTGATGTTCTGCATGCTGAGTTCTATTTTGTGTCCCTTGTTTTTAGATACTATGTATTTGGTTTTGATGGTCGCTGGGAGACGGGCTAGTCAGCTCATAAAACTTCGTACTACTCCTTGTTTGCTCTCGATCAAGGTTTTCAGGTGATTAGGCATATGTGATAACCAAACCCATCTCTTCTGAAACAGGTGGCGACGATGTCCGCTTCTTGTTCACTGTCGGTGGTAGGTTTGTTTATCTCACACATCCTAACTTACTCTTCAAATTTGATCAAGAATGTTAATACTAATATATTTTGAATAGGGATGCTTGCCCGAATTGGAGGGGTGACATTCCAATTCAGAAATTTGACTTGTCTTCTTCTTCTTCCAACCCTTCTCTTCTCACCTTCTGTATTGTACTTCTCCCCTACCTTTCTGTTCATCTACCATTCTATAATTTCTATTTCTGTAACCTGTTTATCTAGTTAGTAACCTCCCTCGGCATTTTGACCCGGTCGCTCAAGAAAAGAAATCTAAAACATAGCATTGCATGATTCCAAAAAAGCTACTTCCTACATATTTCAGGCTTATGTTCCTCATGTTGAAGGATTTGAGACTTGAGAGGCGAGCTACAATAAAAGAGAGAACGCGATGGGTTGTTGAAAAATATCCACCAAGTGACCAGTCAATAAAAAGGGTTCAAACCTCACCTTCCAAAAGGAAACAGCAACTTTCTGCGATTTCTTCGATCGAGAACCCTAGCGATTACAAACAAACGAAGCATCTGGATCATCCGCTCGCTCACCCTGCTTCAACAATCAGTGGGGAGGAAAAATCCCAAAATCAGCTTTCCTGAATCGAAATCAGTTCAAAAACGACATGAATCAAGTTGGTTTCAATCAAGAGAACCCTACTGGAAAACCCACCCCGCCATCGATCGATTAGAGCTTCCCCTAACCTCATCGAAGTGCGATTGCTTCAGTTTCGGCCGCGGAGTCTCCTCATTCTCCGATATAAGCCCACTCGGATTCACTATCGAGGAATCTCCGAGCAATTTCGTGCAACGGATTTCACAAGTTGTTGGCCTCTCGAGCTCTGGGGCGAACTCGAATCTTGTTGTTAGATCTAAATCAAAACTTGAGATCTAAAACCATATAGCCATGATTAATTCGAAGAGATTAATAAGAATCTAAAAGGGCGGATGCTTATACCTGAATCCATAGAAGAAATCTTGATTTGGGTTTTTGATGATCTTCTAACATTAGGGTTCCTCTAAATCCGAATTTCTCTTTCTAGATGGGGGTGAAGAAAATTAGAGAATGTAACCCTAGGTTAGGGACCATAACCCCTTATTTATAGATGTTGTACATTTATAATTTGGCCCCTCAACAAATTACAATTACAACCTGGTATCTGCACATATAACCCCATGACTTACTCAACAAATTACAATTACAACCTGGTATCTGCACATATAACCCCATGACTTATTTAAATACCTAATTAATCCAAATTTATTGATCACTTTAGTGGGTTATCCTGAAAGATACCAATACACATTGATTAATCATATGTGCCCACAATTAGATTTATTAGATTAAATCCAACAATCTCCCACTTGGGCACCATATGATTCCTTAAATTGTGTATAACCTTATGAGCTCAAAAAATTGCTATCACTGAACAGGTATTTCCGAACAATCTCGTCCATTGACTATATCAATATAGGATCAAAGCGGCCTTCGTCACATTTATCGTGACTCGACCCATCAATGGTCACATATACCAATACAATCAAACGATATAGATCAATCATGGATGTGCAGCATGAAAATTACATGCAATGTGATCAGTACATGTCTATTTTCAACTGGTCCTCCTTAGTGAGGTCAAAACCAAACATAATGTAACAGAGTGTCTTAACTGAATACTTTATTCTGATCAGACAATACAACCAAACATAAAGCACCACAAATACAAACTCCCACTAAAACATAATATCCTCAAATAATACCACACCCATATGAGCAGTATGCTCAATAAAGGCCTTGGGTGGTAATCTCTTAGTAAGAGGATCAACTATCATGGAGTTTGTCCCAATGTGCTCTATAGATATTTGTCCACTCTATACCCTTTCTTTCATAACCAGGAACTTAATGTCAATATGTTTTGACTTAGTTGAGCTCATGTTGTTATTGGAATACATTACTGCAGATTTATTGTCACAATATAACCTTAGAGGTCTTTCAATATTTTCCAAAATGCGCAGTCCCGTGACAAAATTTCGCAGCCATATTCCCTGATTGGATGCCTCATAGCAAGCTACAAATTCTGCTGTCATAGTGGAGGAAGCTACTAGTGTTTGTTTGACACTTTTCCATGATATAGCTCCTCCTGCTAACATATAAATGTAGCCTGATGTAGACTTTCTGCTATCTTGGCATCCAGCAAAATCAGAATCCGAATACCCAATGACCTCTAATTTTTCTGATTTTCTGTATGTGAGCATGTAATCTTTTGTTTTCTGAAGATACCTCATAACCCTTTTGACTGCTATCCAATGATCCATACCAGAGTTGCTTAAGTATCTGCCTAACATCCCAACAATGTACGCAATATCTGGACGCGTACATACCTGAGCATACATTAGACTTCCTACAGCCGAAGCATAAAAAATCTTCTGCATTTCCTAAATTTCAAGGTTACCTTTAGGGCACTGATTGAGATTAAACTTGTCTCTTTTAGCAACAGGGGTGTCACCTGGTCTGCAATCTTGCATGCTAAACCTTTTAAGTACCTTATCGATATAGCTCTTTTGTGATAATCCAAGAATAACCCGAGAGCGATCTCGATGTATCTGGATCCCTAATATAAAAGAGGCGTCCCCAAGATCTTTCATCTCAAAATTCTTTGATAGAAATCTCTTGGTTTCGTGCAACATGCCTATATCATTAGTGGCAAGCAAGATGTCATCGACATACAGAACCAGAAAAATATACTTACTCCCACTGAACTTGTGATATACACAGTCATCAACAATGTTTATCTCAAAACCGAACGAGATAATTATTTGTTGAAACTTATGATACTATTGACGAGGAGCTTGCTTGAGTCCATAGATGTATTTCCTTAATTTGCAAACCATATTCTTTGGATCTCCTGATACAAAGTTTTTTGGTTGCACCATATAAATCATCTCATCAATGTCTCCATTGAGAAATGCAGTCTTAACATCCATCTGATGTAACTCAAGATCATAATGAGCAACAAGTGCTATGATTATTCTGAAAGTGTCTTTCGATGAAACCGGAGAGAAAGTCTCTGTATAATCAATGTCTTCCTTTTGAGTATAGCTTTTAGCCACAAGACGTGCCTTATACCTCTTCACATTACCGTTTGCATCCCGTTTGGTCTTAAAATCCATTTACAACCAATTGGTTTTGCACCTTCTGGTAATGGGACAAGTTCCCAAACCTTATTGTCTTGCATAGATTTGTACTCTTCATTCATGGCATCAATCCACTGTTGAGAGTTAGAACTTTTCATGGCCTGAGAGAAGTTGATTGGATCATCTTCTAACATTCCACTACTTTCCTCATGTTCTTGGAGAAATACAATATAATCATCCGGAATAGCATTTCTCCTTTCTCTCGTGGATCTCCTTAATGGCACTGGTTCTTGAGGTTGTTGAGTTTGTTCTTCTGGAACAGGGAGTTGTTCAACATTATCATCTTGAGGTTCCGGATTTACTTCTTGAGCAACAACAGGTATAGGAACATGAATATTATCAGAAGTAACTGTATGGATTGGATCTGAGTCTAATTCCTCCTCAAAAGCAATGTCTCAAAAGCAATGTCCCAAACTCAACTTCCTCAAAGAATGTTGTTGTTCCCGCCTCAAAAATATTCCTTAGTGTGGGATCATAAAACTTATAGCCCCTAGAGCGTTCAGAGTACCCAATAAAGTAGCTGCTAACTGTTTTGGAGTCCAATTTCTTTTCATTCGGCCTATAAGGCCTTGTCTCACCTGGACATCCCCAAATATGTAAATGGCTAGGTGAACCCGGCATGGTGTACTGTGGGACGATACCGTATTCCTCTAGGTATCTAGCAAATGGTCCTGGACGTTGTTCACCTGAACCATCATATCTACCGTAGTACTCACCACCACGATCAGATCTGACGGTTTTAATTCTTCTGTTGAGTTGATTCTCAACTTCAGCTTTATAGGCTTTGAACATGTCCAGAGACTCAGATTTTTCATGAATAAGATATAGGTGCCCATAACGTGAGTAATCGTCTATGAATGATATAAAATATTGTTGACCATTCCAGGATTCCGTAGGGAATGGCCCACAAATATCCGTATGTATCAATTCTAAGACATCCGAAGATCTGTTGGCACCTAATCTTTTCACTTTGGTCTGTTTTCCCTTGATACATTCAACACATACGTCGAAGTCCGAAAAATCAAGGGAATCCAAAATGCCATCAGACACAAGACGCTCAATTCTACCTTTTGAGATATGACCTAAGCGCTTATGCCATAATGTCGCCGAATTTTCCTTATTTAATTTACGCTTAGTACCACGTGATTCCACATGCAAGGATTCATTGTAAGAAGCAATTGTATCAAGCAAATATAGGTTGTCATAAATACTCAAGTAACCGGTTCCCACAACATTTGAATTAAAAGATAAACTGAATTGACTGTTTCCAAATGAACAAGAATAACCTGATTTGTCCAATACAGAAACAGAAACCAAATTCCGTCTAAAAGACGGTACTACAAAAGTATCTTTTAAATCCAAATAATAACCAGTTCCTAACAACAACCTAAAGTGCCCAATTGCTTCCACATCTACCGATTGTCCGTCGCCCACAAAGATGTGTCTTTCAACATCACTTGGCTTTCGGTAGCTCAGGCAACCCTGCATAGAAACACTTATATGAGTAGTAGCACCAGAGTCTAACCACCAAGTGTTTCTAGGTACTGAAGCTAAATTAACCTCAGAACAGACCAAAGCAAGGAACGTACCCTTATTATCACGCCAGGCGTGATATTTTGTACAGTCCTTCTTTACATGTACAGGCTTCTTACAGAAGTAACAACCCTGATTATCATTATGTTGTTTCTTCTCAACTGGACCCTTAGCAGCTTCCTTATCATTCTTCCTTTTCTTGCCCTTATCCTTAGAGGCATAGGCCAAATGAACACTTTCTGTCTTATCCTGCTTCAACCTATCTTCTTCTTGCACACAGTATGAAATGAGCTCATTTAGAGTCCATTTCTCCTTTTGACAGTTATAACTGACCTTAAATTGGTTAAACTGTGCAGGAAGAGACAACAAAACCAGATGCACTAATAACTCGTCACAAAGATCGAGTTTAAGTGCCTTAAGCTTTGAAGCAATATGAGACATTTCCATAATGTACTCCCTGAT